ACTAACGAGAATTTAAAGACACTTTGCTTCTATTCTTAAACAAGTTTGTTAAAAAGGGCTGAATAATGGGAGAGTATGAATCCTTAAAGAAAAGCTGAGCTTGAGGAAAATCAACCTTAAATTTGATCAAATAACTTTACATAAACTGATTGCTTTCTTTCACTATTGTTACATAAGTGAACTATATTTATTTAATGAACAAAAAAGTTTTAATCGTCTACAAATATAGTATTGAATAATTAATGGCAATGCCACCGTTTAGATGAAAATTTCACTTAATTATATTATCATGTTTTTTGCAAGAAAACATTTTAAAAATTAACATTTTAGAGATTAATCAAGGCACTGTTTATTATTGCAAATCAAAGACATAGCTACTTGACCATTGAAAGATCATGACGTTTCAAATCAGGTTCCCTTGGATGCCTCATCGCTTCCAAGTGACGATCGAAGTTTGCTGGAACGGGGCTTCTGTCTGATCTGTCAAGACAATCTCAGAGAGATTTAACCAGATCAGCATAAACATGAACAAATGAAGAAATTAATTTACCATCCTTGGGATAAATTGAGTTCTAAAATTCAAGTTTAATGACTCGTTACCGGGTTTGTAGCAAATGCTTATTGACTTAGACTTTAATGTTGGTCAAAGAACTGGTAAGTTTTATTTTCGATTAATTCAAAGCCAAAATGTTTTTAAATTTTATTTTTACTATATTAGGGAGAAAGCCCTTGTTTAGAAAAATGATCATACAATTTCTTGTTTTATAATGCAGAGTGCATCTACAAAATGTGAACGTCAATCGATATTACAGAATAATTGCAGGAAATAATGAAAATAAAAAGTTAATTCATTCAAGTACAAGTAGTTATTAAGTATTAAAAATTTTTATTTATGCCTAATTTTCGTTAAACAATTAGAAATAGAGAAAAGATTCGGTGATAATTTTGGAAACGTCCTCAAATAAAATAATCTTAAAAAGCTCATAAATGAAAATTTTCATTGTTTTTGTAAAACTATTTGATTCTGTTGAACAAAATAAATTCGCAAAGTTATTGCTATTTGAAAGGATAAATTGAATCTATTGTGTCTGGAAAAGGCAGAATTAGGTATTAATTAAGTAAATTTAATTATAATTTACGCACTAAAACCATTGAAGAATCATCCTAAGATTGATGATGTATGTGATATTTAGCCATACTCAATTTACTTTTAGGTAATAAATAAATAAAACCATTGGATTTTCAATTGCTCTTTAAGATGCTTAGCATAATTGAATGTAATAAACTCACTAGCCATAAATAGCTTTATTTCCATGACAACACATGGTGAATCCAATGCATCTGGCTGAATGAAGATTTGTGCTGAATGATTAGCTTTTTATTCTAAATGAGCCGTAGAATAGATGACATTGATGGTCCCATATTTTAATTTACTACTTTATTCATTTATTCTTGCCAATGAAAAAAAGATCTTTAGCAAAGCAAAGTAAAGTCATTTAAATGAACTAACCGTCGCAATACATCATTTGAAATATGAAATACAGTTTTGGCTACTTTATTTAAAAGAAACTCCAGGTCGAATCCATGGGAGGAAAAAAGATATGCTGAATTCGCTAATGAAATTAAAATTAAAGGAAAATAGAACGCCAAATTGAACGAAACATCAACTCATTACGAAATAAGTGCTTCACACATGCTTTTGCAAATATACTCAATACAGTTATTTGCCATCAATTAAAGTGTTGACTTATTTGCTTTGTCCAAATGAGCCCCTAGGAGTTTGCGCTCATAATATTCCGAAATTAAAGTCGAGCTGAGCTAAAGTAGAATGCGGTTATGCAATCTCGATTACAGCATTACTGGTAGTTGAAGAATGGAGTTAATGAGCATCTGAGCTAACCATATGAGAAATTTAGTGCATTTCTTTGTTAAAGGAAGACAACGAAATAAATACCACTTATACCATATATTTGAAAGTTATTTTTGTATTTAACACATTGATCAAACAATTGACATAATTTAAAAATTAAGGATGCAATTGCGAATGACTTGAAATATTTATTAACATACATTTATATAATACACTAGCCTATTTCCTTAGTTTATTTTGAACATCATTGGGGTGTGCGATAGACTTACCTCCACGTGGTGCACCCTGGGCAACGTATACTCATACGGCAAAAAAGTCTATTAACTGGCAGTTGACTTCAGACTCCAAATTACCATCACCTCACTGTATGTCAAATTCGAATACTTCAAAAGTACTCGCCTCACCTTTTTCCAACTTTGTCCCTGTATCTTTTACATCGTTGAAACACTCTTCTGTCCCCCCCATCTCGACCTTTTTCACTTTGATGTTCCTTCCAATCTGTGAAGCCTGAAGTCAACTAAAGGGCTAATGATAACTATCAAAATGCACGCCATTTGATATAAATAAATAAATTTTGAACATCACGGTGCATTAAGCGTTTTAAAGTTGCAAGTAACCATTTAACGGAAATTAACTGATGTCATTTAATTCCACTTCTTATTGCAAACTATTTTTGAAGCACCTCCAAACGTTGAATTTTAGACATCCCACTGATTCCATTTGATTCAAAATCACTAATTTTAAGATGCTTGACTCAACAACAGTTGAATGAGATGGGATTAGCCATTCGCCTAAGAAATTGGAAAAAAGCTGAATTTTTTTAATTATTTACTTCAATACTTGGCCATAAATGTCTTATATGTCTCATTAATTAATCAGTTCAATGGAGGACTTGCAATCTCATAATTTTAGGTATATCGTTGGTATATATTTTGTAGAGTAGATTAGTATTTTGAAATATTTGAAATCCAAATCTGTGATATAGACATTTTTACCTTGTTATTTATTATTCAAGTGATATATTTTAGCTTGGTAACTAATTGAGCAAAATGGAAAAGCAATTTTTTTATTAAATATTCATATGATGGAGGGTTTATAAATAGCAATTATTGTGAAATTTTGTTAAGAATAAAGATGTGTCTATGACATTCTTAGTCATTACATATGTGAGCCAAAATCTCAGGCATTTATATGAAACTTCCCCTTCTGCTATAGCAACTACAAGTAAACTTAAATTATGATTGAAAAAATTGTACAAAAGGAGAAAAAATTCACTGCAGGCATAAAAGCAAATGCAGGCACAAAGCACTATTTTGTGTGAATACTTGTTTCCTAACCCTGCAACCTCCTTCCCCCCNCCCCCCCACCCCCCCCCCCCCCCCCCCCCCCCCCCCCCACCCCAATTTACTAGGAATGCTTGCCCGCTCTAAGGCAATATGGCTTTGAGGAGGTGCTTCTGAGCAAGTATTTGACCTGAGTGTGGTTGGAGGTATATCAACATTTTTTGACTGAGAACGAATTTAGTGAAAAGTAAGCAGTGAATAGCTCCATAATTCACCAACCAGAAGTGCGATTTTAATTCTGAATGTTACTACATGTCACTTTCTCCAAAGTGTGACTACTTGCAATTTAGGCTTCACTGCGCTCATTGTCTTATTCCTCCATTCATGTTCTAATTTGTCTAGCTATTGTCCTTGATAATATTTTATCGAATAATCTGGGGATGCATCACATTCTTCCTCATAATGAAAATATAAGAAACAGTTTAATTATATAACATAAATTTTAGGTTTGCTAACTGCATTACACTCAAATTTAGATTTAATTGGTGACGTTATAGAAGTACAGTATTGTTTGATAATTTTGCAAGATAGATGAGTATTAAAATAAAATAACACGCACTTATAAATTAGTATATGAAGCGACAAGAATTCAAGTATAAAAATGTAAGATTTGTTTAACTTCTCGGTATTTCAATCATACAGCAAGGCATGTTAGCGCCTATTCAGTTTCAAATTTGATCTTGCTTGAAATTCAGAAAAATTTGCATTCACCAAAACTGATTATTAGTGCTAAATAGATTCTCATTAGACGCTGTAAAATGCATAATTCTTTGAGCATAAAAAAATAATCCAATTTCTATTAAAGGGAAGAAGGCGCCGTTAGTTCCAACTGCATTAGCGATTCAAAAATGTGACTAATTCCGAATCAAATTTTATACTTATACATCATCTGAGTTAGTAAACGCAATCCAAGTGGTTGCCTCTATTTTCGCATAAATATGCAACGCTTCCTTGTTTTGTGTTAACTAATCCATGTAATGATTATTTACGTGGAGCTGTTGATGCTCAGCCTCCATATGGTCTACTTTGTGACGTTAATCTCTCTTTCCCAAACACTTATCAAATCACCACGGATATTTTCTCCCAATTCATATGTTTGCTCATTTGCTTTTATGAATTGTAACATGTTTTTATGTTATCCATTTCTTTCTTGCTCAATTCTATTCCTCTATGCCACCCCCCCCCCCAATATGAGCATTTTAAAATGGCGCATTTGGCAACACATCCTTTTCGAAGAATATACCAAATTTTTTTATAAAAAAACTGAAACAAACTTTCGCACTCTAACATCTTTCGAGTTCCTCCCCCCCAAAAAGGCATTCCTCTCCTTACGATAGGCTCATAAGTAATTAAAATTAATTATTACCGCAGCCTAAAGAGTATGATATTTTTAGTAAATAAAAGAAATATAAAAATTGTATGCGCACTTAAGTGTATTTGCAAAGTAAACTAATTTGTGTTTTGGTACAGTAAACGAAATTATTTTAGGAATTAAGTGATTTGACTTCCATTCGGATGGATGAAGAGTGAAGAATTTTAGAATTTACAGGACAGAGACGATGGGCAGGTTTCAGGTCTAAATTTAAATTAGGTTCGGGGTGACTAACATCGAAGAACTACAGAAACTATTTTAAAGTTTAAGTAAGCGCTTAAAAAAATCAATTTCACATGCAGAAAACGAAAGAAATTGGCTCGGTGAGTAGAAGTTGTCAATTGCAGGGGAACAAAAAAAGGACAAATTTCTATATACACCTGGAGAAGAGGTTATTGGTAATTTCATTGTGCTTCTAAGCGTAAAATTCTCTACTCGGCGCTCGTACATACGCTCCGGATGTTGTGGCGCCTTTTTGAGGTTCCTCAAGGGAGTAAGACCCCTCATCCTTCTTACGCAGACGATAGACGCAAAAGAGAATCAGAAGAATCAATAGTAAGAGACCTGCAATTGTACTTCCTACGATAGCTACAATGCAATATAATCATAGAGATAAAGGAGAATTCATGAATGACCCATTCAGGGACTCGGATATAGGAACTACTTGGACAATATTTATTCATTTATATCAAGCAAGAAAGTACTCAAACTCTCCAATAGGGTTCAAATACTATTACTGCCACAACAATCGTCAGCTAATATGTTACTCTTACAAGCGTGGCGCCAAAATGTGTTCTCGACCCATGTATTTATGAAAACTAGTTTATAAGAACTAATGGAAAATTTAAGAGACATTAAATTTTAAATGACCATATCATTTCAATTTGGCTTGATATCTTAGATGAATACAAGCCCAAGAGATAAAATTGCACAGCTGAGCATGGGCTTATCATATGTTGCTAAAAACACCATAAAGGTCTTATGTGAAGAGATTTGCTAACAGAATTAATTGCGAGTATTTACGTGATGTTATTCATTGTCAATCGTTGAGTTTCCTTCTTACAAAAGATGTTCTGCAAAGAGTGCAAAGACTAGCTAAAAGCAGTGATTTGCTTCATGAATTCCAATAAATTCAGTTTATTTTTTAGAACCATCTAATTAAATTAAAACTCTACATGTCAAATCTCTCGCTTTCAAAAAAATTGGCTCAATAAATTTAAATGGCTCGGAGTGGTTAAAACAGTAAGAATAAAAGTAGAATCAATTACAAAAAAACTAACCAGCAATAACACCAGGTTGGTTGAGAATTTCTCGATGCCTCCAACTATTTTGAATTGCCAAATCATGAGCTGTTTGTCGAACAGAAATTGGACGTCGGCGATTGCTTCCTGGATAATCCTGTTGAGGTGGATCTCTAATACTTTCCTCACCTGAAATAAGACATAAATGAGGTCTCCCCAAATTCTTCACAACATCTGCATGACCTTAAGCTGGTAACCTTAAAGAGGAAGCGAGTTAAATGTGAGAAGGAAAACACTGATTTAAGAACATGGCGTCAGAAGGGAGGATTAGAGAGGTAAAACGAGGAGTGCTAAGCGTTAACATTAAAATTATCATCCTGCATTACCTCACTTTACGTTATGGCTACAGGAAACAGAATAAGACTATATAGGTTCATAAATGTATAATGGTAGAATTACAACGAGACAAGAATCGCACCTTCTAAGTCATCAACGTTCTCTCGACTGGAAGATGCTTTATCCTGTAGGAGGTAAATAATAAGTTCTATTAAATCAAGCAAAGGAACGAAAGGTAAGGTTATAAATTGGAATGTTTAGAGCTACTTCGATATTCCCGGATCCTATATCCAGGTCTTGTGAAAAGTCCGGTTCCGGATCTGAAATAGCAAAGAGGTAAGCGAATAACTCTTTAAAATTGCGTGAATAATTCACATATACAACGGATAAGCATCGGATTGCGTGCAAATGTGCCATAAAATATATTGAATGACGTGAATTGCTCGTGAAAGTGGAGACAAGCTCGCATTCTTCGTCTTGTCAACTTGAAAAAAAATTAATTTCAAAGTATCTGTCCTTTTCTATTACAAGCCCTTCATCAAACTTTTGCTGATAAATTGTCCATGAAGTACTTGGATATCCCCAGACTAATATAGTGATTAGTATTTCTTATAGGACAAATGAGGGGATAAAGGAACGCTTTGCGAAATCGATGACTTCAGAAATTTATGCCGACACTGCTTGTATTGTCATTTATCTAATAAAAGCCAACTGTCAATCAACATAAAATATCACTTAAATGGATACATTATTACCGAATTTCGAGATAACTTCCTCCTCCTTTAAATCCTTCCAACGCCTTAATTCTGCTTCACTTTGGTCTAGGTTAATGATACCTGACCTCGGGTGTCATTTACTAGTGTGAAAGCTTCAACGTATACGAGGGGGTACACAAGCACCTTGCTGGTTCCGGTTTGTTCTCGTATAAGTACATCTTCAGGCTGTATTTTAGGTCATAACTACTATATCTGGGTTATCCTAACTTTATACAGAGCTTTTTCCACAAAATGGCAGTAGTTACACTTTACCCAGACTTCCTTAGCTATTTGAAGGCTTAAGATTGTGATTAAAGAAATCAGGCAAGAAGAGAAATCATTATACGAAGATTTGAGCAACATTCTATTCAGGGTATAGTTATGTCAAAATCAAGTGTTTACTTCATTTTTACTTACTTATGGATTGGTATGAGATTTTAGGCTTACCAGGCATACTTCCTTCCAAACGTTTGACACAACTGGCTTCAGGATCAAGGGAACCTAAACCTGGTAAATAACCCTCATCCAACCGATGCTTGATAAGCTCCTCCAAACTTGACAGTGTCCTTAAGTGGCCAGTTGAGTAGAGAGTCACTTCAAAAGGCGTGGCACGAATTCTCTGATGAACTGAATTGGCAGTTGGCAAACGACGAATGGAAGCGACGCGTTGATAACCCATCGATGCCTGGCAGAGATCATGAAGAGCCTTTGTGATGCGAGACTCCCAGTAGGAGTCATTTGTTTTGTAAGGTGGCGATGAAGAAGATGATGATGATGATAATTGAACTGGATACTTCCGACTATGGTAGATATCGGTGAATGCCGATGTAGTTGCTTGATGGACGACTAGGAGAATTTTCAGTACAGCTACAATGAAATATGATTTCGTATGTACAGAGATGTCAGGTCCTGCTTTCTAGCAAAGATGATATTTATGAATTCAGTTAAATTTTGAAATTAAGTTTTTTTGGAAACTTTCGTTTTTCTTACTTCAATACGTGGCAGCTAATTAAGTAAATTTATTTCGCATGACTTAACAACGTTAGTCTAGACCGGTTTCAGTTTAAATTGAGTGACATTTGATAATTGAAAAAAATATCTGGCCAGCAAATAGAAATTAACTTTAGATAACTATCATAAAGCCTGCCATTTGTTATAAATAAACTTTAGATTTCCAGTCACTATCAAATAAAATCGGTTGCGCTCGACTAAATGTTCATAATTACATTCAGGTAAATTCTGCTAGTTCACCAATACACGATCGTATGAAATCGAATTTGAAGTTAAAATTATCTCGGTATTGATGTAGCATAAGATAATAGAAAAGTGCGTAAGATGTTGCCAGCCCATAAGCAAAGAAGTTGCTGATTGAACATAGAGGCATCTAATTCATTATTAAGCCTTCATCTGGGATTAGAGATTGGTAGTTGTTAATTCCCAGTGGAAATTCTTTGTTTACTCACTTATATGCTAACGTTCATATTGAGTGAGCACAGGTAACGAACGTCTGCTAATTTAACATTTTAATTAAATTTACAAATTACTTTCTCGATTATTAAAAGACAAATGAATATGAATTGCCAATTAGAAGGAAGTAATTGAAACCAAACCGAAATATCAGTTCTAAATTCAAGGGGATGAATGATGAAAGTGGTTTTTGGGAATGCGAACTCTCCATTTAGCGTATAGAGTCCAACCTGAGTGGAAAATTTCAATGAATTGAGATTTGTTGGCACTTCTGCCTTGCTCTCAGCAAATTTTAGATCCATTCTCTTCTCTTTGGTTTATTAGTATCCGCTATTGTAATTCGATTGTTTTAAAAAAACTAAAAAATCTAGTTCTCGTATGGCAATATGGCCTTTTCTCAAGGTATTGGCTCCCTTCACTAGGCCAATAAATCTTCGTGTTCCTACGAGCTTTTTCTGATTTTGTCTTAATCATCAACAATTTCACATCAATATATTTATTAGCCAGTGTGCTTCTGACTTCTAGTAGGCAAATAGCTAACGTAGAAATTGAAATTTTTTAGCATCATTTCAGAGATTTAGCAAATATGGTGTTTTGACGCTTATTTGATCCTACTTACTTAAATTATCAGCTTTGATTACGTTTATTTACTTTTTGCTTCACTTACTCTGACCGTCTTCGCCATCGAATTGTCTTCATTTACTGCAAAATCAGAGATAACTGGCTTACTGATAATCTAAATATAAGCTGTAAACGTTTATATGGAAGTCGTACTCTTATTTGTTGTCGCATTGGCATTTACTGCGACGAATAATTTATTGAAGTTCTGAGCTGCACAAGACGTGGGCAGAATCATTACAACTCTTTTGCTCATTTAATTTTCCGCTGACACTTTTCACATTCACACTTGCCACTGATACAACGATGATAAAAAAGAGTTGAGAAAAGGAAGAGACAGTAATTGATTGGCTCCCACCCAATACCAGCGTACATGATCAATCTTAGTCGACCGCGATCCCCGCCCCNCTCCCCCCCCCCCCCCCCCCCCCCCCCCCCCCCCCCCCCTCCTCAAATGATTGATTGATTCAGCTGTTTCCACAGAGTTGACAGTTTGAAATATTTTTAAAGTACTTTATTACCACCAGTTCAGACTAACACGCATAAAATGTTATAATCCAATATGTTTTTCAAATATTTGTAAAACCTATACTAGATATCTATTTGCTATTTTGAAATGGACAAATAATGTGAAAAATTTCAAGTGAGTTTAAAAGACTTAAGTATTGAATCGTTTTAGGATTATAAAGGTAAAGGAAATTTTTTTTCATGATTATAACTTGGCTATAAGCACTTTTTTTAAAATTTCACCACTTCAATAGTTACATGGCGTGTCCACTTCCTTGATTTTTTTAAAATAAAAGTTCATTTGTCCTTCGTTTTGCATTTTTAAAATTAAAAATGAATTTGATCTTTTATTGAGTGTTAGTGGAATGATACTTATTAGCTATTAATGACTCCTCAGTGCTTATATTAGTTATTATTATTATTTTTTATTATTTAGTTCACAGTTACTTGAAAATAGAATCGTATTTTAAAATCCTACCTGCCGAAAGGAAATTAAGCCTGAAAATATAAATTTTCTCATATAAATTCGATTAAAGTCATTTTAATAAAGCGATTGTTCATCTAAAACTTATTCAGCATAACCTACAGTTTAAAAGAATCTATTATCATAAGCAAGTGATATATAGTTTTTTTTAATAAAGTAATGCTTTTATATCTTCATATTTGATTTATTCATTTTGTCTATAAGAAGAAGTTAGCATTTACATGCCCCAATTGATGAACATCAAGAGAAGCTCACAATACCGACGAATAATCGCGCTTTTCCACACTTAATTACAGGCATATTTGCACCGAGAATTTTCTCATGGTATTTAATAAATAGAGCAACTTATTTTATATCTGTTTTGCATATTTTTATTTCCTTAAAAAGTTCGAGTTTTGCACCTTACGATAAGTAAAACCTGCAAAAGTGCGAGAAGCTCTCAACAGCACCATTAAACGTTAATTTACCCAGTGAAAACACACGTACACTTAATTTATTTAGTGTGACATCACAATCGGTCAACAGACATGCACTTTTTAATTTAATGGATAGAATTATATCGAATTTGCCATATATGCTGTTCACCAATTGTGAGCATTTTGTGCTGTCTCTAATAGTGCTTACTATCAATTTATTTTATTCGTCATGCGCAAATAATTGATATCAATCTTGATTTATTTCACAAAATGAATCATCTCTTTGTTTCAATCGATGGTAGACATTCGAGTAATATTTCAGTGTACCATTAAAAAGTAATACAATTGGATAACGATTTTTAGATTATGTCGCTGGAAAAGTTAATTTAATTAATCTCCGACATTGCATGATTGATATTTACCGAATCGCATAACTAAAGAGCACACAGTTTAAATAATTAAAATTCGCTCGTCTATTTATTATTACAAATTGTTGAATAATTTATCATTCACATTTAATATCTTTAATGTCTTAGTAGAAAATATTTATCTTATCAAAAAATATTGTTGGCCATTTTACTTTTAAACACCATCTGCCTAGTTTCACAATGGCAAATAGCCACTTAGTTTCTCTCTTTGAGGAAATAAATAATACTTTTCTATTATTGTAGGTAAATATGAAAGAGTCATTCATATTTTCCGGTTTTAAAGTGTGAATTCTAAATTTGAATGAAAATCAAACATACCGCCGATTGTGGATTACTTTCATCTCTTTCAGTATGAAATTTCATTTCCACTTTAAATTTTAGTGAAGAACAATGCAATCTCAATATAACGAGTAAGGCCAAGTATTTAGAAGAGTTTTGCTCAATGTCGTTAGACATTGCATTTCAGAAAGGCTGAGTAGAGAAATCACTAAGTAGTCTAGCGTTTATCATCAGCGATGAGATTTACTTATTTGTGATTAATAACAAATTGCTATTTCCTAAACACACAGAATTTTAGCGAATACAAGGAAGTACTGGAGTGATGATTGATGAACACTAAGCTTATGCCAATTAATGGAAAACAAAAGTCCTCTGTTAAAACAAAAGATTTATTAAATGTGCCATGATTATATGCTCTGGAATATTTATTTATTTATTCACCACTAGAAGTGATTAACGTTTTGATTTAGTGCCATTTCCAGCTTCATGACGTGATTAAACTAATTACGTACTTCCGCATAAATTAATTTAAGCTATTCAGAGATAATACTCCACTTAACGTTAGAACCAAGGTAGATAATGCAAAGTTATATTAACTTTAAATAGGAATAAATGTCTACATTATTTGTTAAAGGTGAAATGCACGCTGCTTGCGCAAGTGAACTTTTAACTTCAAAGCTGGTGCACCACAAACAAAAAAAAACTAAAATTAATTAATGAGATGATAAATCATTTTAGGCAAAGAGGTTTACTTATTTCCTTTGCTGTGAAGTGATGAAATAGGTCAATTCTTGTCATTTTTTAAGTAATCATTAGATCAGTTTTTCTAACAAATTCAAAATGTACGTTAGACAGTGCTGTTCGGAACTCGTTGAAATTAAATTATAGCCAACGGCATTTAGAAACACCCCTAGAACTTGAAAATCGGAAAATTGTAACCGTAAAAGTAATTGGAGTAATTTGAGATGAGGTCTTCAGCTTTGACGAATAACTTTATTATTTTTCAAATTAAAAGGTTAATCAATAGGTTGTGGAGGGCGCATTTCTAACTTGTCTGGAACCAGAATTTGCATGCTTGCTCCAACATTCTGGAACGTTTAACCGTGTTAGTGACTACGAAGTCGTCAAGCATGGCCATTCTACTAATTGTACTAGGGAGTAAGTGCAGTTGAGAGTACAGGGAACAACCAGTCAATCAACAATCAATATTCACCTCCTATTTAACACAGCCAAAACTATATGCGATAACTTATTTTTCCTGCTCGAGCAAATGTTTCGTTGTTATCCTCACAGTTTCCTCGACATTGCCGAAGTAGATCAACTGCAAACAAGGCTTTAATATGTTGAGAAATGAATCTAGGTGACGTTGTTAACCACGGAATTAATTCAACCACACAACATGATTGGAATACCTTGAATACAATGTTTGCTGCAAGTAAATAATAACTTCAAGAGATGCGAGGTGGTTGAGTATTATAAGAGAATATGGATATTTCATTATTACACGATGACCTCTTGAACAAATGGAATGTAAAATTTCATAATTTTACTTCTCTTGCTTCAAAATGCCCAAGCCAATTATGAAAAAAATTGAGTGCGTTTCTCTAAGGCTTGAAAGAACGTACTTTGGAGCAGCTTCTACGAGAAGCTAACATTTTATCCCACCCTATGGTTATCCACATTGAACTAGATGGTTGAACAGCGATCCAAATGGATGTGCACGGATGAGCATTGATCTTTCACGGGCATGTGCACCGACCCCTATATTCCGGTAATCTATCTGTTACTAAGTTTAGGAATTCATAAGAGTTGGGAGATTGCAAAGAATAATAGATAACACTCTATTAGAGCCAATGGATTTTATGCATATGCATGGTATAGATGAATGATATTGAGGTCAGTCACTTTTAAAACTTCACTGCTTCCAAGATAATTGATTTCATAACTACAAAGTTTTAAATTATTATGCGCCACCGGTGTCTTGCTAGATATTATCGTGCTGTTATAGCCACCAACAGCTCTATCTTCTCGGTAAGTTAACAAGCCTCACAATGAATACATTTGGACACTTTTCCAGATTTTCTCTCCCCTGTTCTTACAATTCATGGTGGGTATAGTACTTTTCACGCTGGCGTGGAGGAAATAAAGACTAGGGTCTACCCAAACCCTGCTGCAACGCTCATTCTGGGGATCTATGTCTTACTTATTGGAATTGTAGGATTTAGTGAAGTCTTAACAAAGGCGAAATGCACTTTCCCGACAGTGAGTAATAATGCGTTTTATCTCCTTTATCTCTCCACTTTGCAGCTTTATTGGTAATAATGGCGATTGCAGAAGCCACTATCGGGATAATGCTAATTACAGAGATAAGGTAAGTTCTAGCTTATGATTTCTAATTCATTGTGTAGATAAAATGGATTATAAAAAAGATCACACAACTGAAGCTACAAGGCGACACAAGGGAATGGTTATTTCATGGTAAACTGGACTCATGATATTGTTGATTCCGCAAGTCAATACATCTATCATTTCATCGGTGCTCACCCAAATTGGCTGGCTGAAAGTCATCT